AAATTTTTAACCACACCAGAATAATTCAATAAATTTTATTCTGTCAGTTCGAAGTCTGAAAAAAGTGGGACGAGAAATTTAAGTTTTACTGCAATGTTGCCAAATTTATTTATTTGTAACYTAACTASGCGCARATAAGTATTTAACGTATTTTAATTTTATTAAGCGCAATCGAGGTTTTTGCATATAGGCGCATATACGGTATTTAGGCGCAAACACGGCCCTCCCAAAAGGTCAGCCGATAACGACTGTGCTCAATCGGATATCACCATGTGTAACTACTAAATACTAATTATACTGATTATCTACTGAATAGTTCGAATTTTTTTTATAAGAATATAATACATATTACATTAATAAAATATATTAGCCCATAACATTATCTACCTAGGTACCTTAAATTTAACGTGCGTTGAACGCAGGTTAACGTTCGCCATGTGTACAAGCCATGATTAATTGACTATTTTTCAATTTTGGTAATTTATTTTCTAATAATTTATCATAATAATATGATGTTTGCTGTGTTAAACGTCTTGGTAAATGTTTGAGTAAATAAAAATACATGGGAATTTTATGACTTAAAATTATTATAATATTATGTATAACTATTGTAATTTGACAAAATTAACTTTTTCTTAACTTCATAGTTCATTCAAATGTCAAATTAAGCTTGTCGAGTTAAATATATTTTTTGTTAAATTTTAACTTTAACTGAATGCAATTTAATTTAATTAACTTAACTTGTCACAGTTAATTATTTTCATTAATACTTGCCCGACCTTGGTGGTACCGTTAAACGGTGATAAGTATATGGCTTTTGTGATGAGCCGGATCAAACACTTATTTCTTTTTGACTATAAGATATATTAAGTAATAATCGTAAACAATTAAGTCTTCACAGTTTAATTTACCGTAACATTATCTATTTAATAATATAATATCATAACAAGTACGCGGATCAAGTCGTGGCAAATCATAGTGAATCTTATAATCTCTCTTCAGGCCTGTGTATTCTAGATGGAGGCGAGTATTCATGATTCGTCGATTTTTCTTGATCGTCGTTTTCCATGTCAATTACTAGCAAGGTTGGCGGCACAACCATCGGATTGTTGTTGAACGCCTTAGGCTGTCCTTCCACTATCGCATCGTGAGCAGCGGCCAAAGAGCCATCCGCTGCATAAAATATAGCAGATGAGCCACCCGAGTCAGTGTCAACCGACATACCGGCAACTGATCTTTTGTCGGAAGGACTGTCGGCGTTCGGGTTAGCGTGGGATTTGTATCGGGAAAACCTTTTCCGGATGAAATACACCAGGGCCGCAATGGATGCTATTACACAATGCTGTCGAAACACACRCGTATGATGTAGTTGATACATTATAATATAAATGTATGATAAGTAGGTACAGTATGTTAGTATGGTACATAATAGCAATTGGCAAGTTATATAGAACTCAATTTTTGAGATGGACAAGTCCTGCATTCGTCATTCGTGTAACTACGTTCAATAAGGCATGTGAAAATAAATTTGATAGGAAACACCATACATCTATACTCACAGCAACGTACGTTGCACCAGCACCGCCCATTAAAAAATTTTGATCGTAAAAATCAACGGGCGGTGCTGGTGAAACATTTCGCGAACACCGCCCGACCAAAAAAAGGAAATTTTTATATTTTTATAGAATTCATCATTTAGCACGCATTTAGCATGAATTTGCACGACTATCGTCGAAATTCGAAAGATCGTCACATCCGTGCCAAATCTCCAGTATTGTAATTCAAATTATAAAAAATCAAACTTAATAAAAACCACAAGTGGAATATAAAATCTATATTTAATAAAAAATTTACAATAATAGCAGAACTTTTCAGAAACCAACAATKTTCAAATGGACTTGWTSGACATTGTTGGATACTTGTTGGAATTTGTTGGCCCCCACTTTTTAACTGAACCACCATATATTTTGTACT